TCGTAATTAGGTACAGATGTTGCATATGAGTATTTTGTTAGGTCGTCTTGCATGGTAACGATAAATTTATTGCCTGCCTCTGTTAATGATAAGGGACCAACTACATCGATCGCTAATCTTTGAAAAGGTCGCTCGCTCGTTGTAGTTATCTCCATAGGAGCTTTTGGGGTTTTATGAACTAATTTGTTAATTTGACAAGATTGGCAACTTTTAATAAAGTGTTTTATATCACCTTTCATATTTGGCCACTTATAATTTTCTTTAATTCTATGATAAGTTCTTAAAAATCCGGGATGACCGGCTACTGACGAAGAATGATTCTCTTGTAAAATATTTTTTATTTCTTCGCGGGTTTTAGGACAAAATTTTGGTTTGTTTACAAGTACAATTTTGATATTTGATTTAGAGAATAAAAATTCTATTAATTCGTTAAATAAATCTTGTTTGATATTTTTATTTTCTTCTACAGGATTTTTAATATATACTGTAAAAATCTTATTTGTTAAAAGAATAGACCGGAGTTTTTGTAAAGAGTAAAATAAGTCATTGTAAGTTATTTTGTCAAAATGATTTTATTTTGAAATTACTAAAAATGTGATTTGATTATTTGAGTGTTTTAAAGTAATAGTGTCATAAAGATTAATGTTGTCATGATTTAATTGATTAATGTCTTGATTAATAATAAGACTTTCGTAACAAGGATTGTTTTCATCGAGATCTTTTGAATATAAAAGAATATTGGGAAATTTTGAAAAAACATTATCTTTTATCGTTTCTATGTCAACCAATTTTTGATTCATATAATGGAATTTAATAAAATCGCTATAAGTTTCTAATTTATTTTGAGATTTGTTTTTATTTAAGTTAATTTGAATATTTTCGGGATTTCGCGAAAGTGCGTAAGCGTTACAATTTATTCTACCTGGTTTATAATGAATTTCGTATTCGAATTCTTCGAGTTTAAGTCTCCAACGAACTAATCTACTATTAGGGTCTTTACAATTTGCTAACCATTTAAGTGGACGATGATCTGTACAGATAATAAACTTTTTACCATATAGGTATGGTCTAAAGTGTTGTGTTTTCCAAACGATCGCTAAAAGTTCTCTATCCGTAGTAGAATAATTACATTCGGCTTTATTTAACGTGCGAGAGGCATATGCGATTGGCAAATCTTTACCAATTTCACCTTGTGACAAGATGGCACCTATTGCAAAGTTTGATGAATCTGTGGTTAAAATAAAATCCTTAGAAAAATCTGGAAATTGAAGAATTGGTTCTTGAGATAAAATATTTTTAAAATGACAAAATGAGTTTTCCTGTTCAAGTCCCCAGGTAAACTGAGTATCTTTTTTAAGCAATTGTGTTAATGGTTTCGCGTGTTTTGAAAAATCTTTAATGAATCTACGATAGTAACCAATGAGTCCTAAGAACTGTTTAATTTGATTTGGAGTTTTAGGTTGAGGGTAGTTTTTAATAGCTGATATTTTATTTGGATTCGGTGAGACACCTTTTTCATTTATAACATGACCAAGATACGCGACTTCTTTATGCATAAATTCGCATTTATCGGGTTGTAAAAGTAATTTATTAATTCTTAATCTGTCAAAAACATTTTTTAAACGTAAAGAGTGTTCTTCTAGCGTACTACCAAAAATAACGATGTCATCCAAGTATACAAAGCATTGAAGGCCTTGTAAACCCACTAGGGCAGCATTCATTGCTCTTTGGAATGTACTTGGTGCATTTTTTAAACCAAATGGCATTCGCAGATATTCGTAATGACCTAATGGACTAGAAAAAGCAGTTTTAGCAATATCTTCCTTTTTCATGAGAATTTGATGAAATCCGGACGCGAGGTCAAGGGTTGTAAAATATTTTGAATGTCCTAATTGATCTAAAATATCTTCGATATTTGGTAAGGGAAATTTATCTCCAACCGTAATTTCATTTAATTTGCGAAAGTCAATTACAATTCTAAATTTACGTTCACCTGATGCGTCTAATTTTTTAGGTACAATCCATAAGGGACTATTATAAGGAGAGACTGATGGTCTGATAATTTTTTGTTTAAGCATTTTTTCGATTTGTTTTTCGACCTCTCTTTTGTGAACTTCTGGGAATCTATAAATTTTTGTTGCAACTGGGGTAGGGTCGGTTGTTTTAATTTCGTGTTCGAGAATACTCGTGTGAGTTAATGTGTCATTAGGAAGATAAAAAATGTCGTTATATTGCTCGCATAATTTTAATATTGAATATTTTTCTTCGGGATTTAAATGGTCTAGTCTTAGATTTTCTTTAAGTAATTTGATGCGATTATTTGTTACTGATTGATTTTTAACATTAATAAAGATTGTAGATTGTTTTTCTTCAAAAGGTTCTAGAAAAACTTGTAATTTATTTATTTTTAATTTTCGATTTTGGGTATTTAATATAGTAGTAATGGCAGTGCCATTTTCCACTTTGAGAATAGCTTTTGCTAAAAATACACCTTCGGCAATATTTATTTCTGGACATATACCCTGTGATAAGTTTTTATTTAAGATTTCAATTTTAATAATTGTTTCTGATCTAGGTTCTAATACAACTGAATATAAATTTTCATTATTATGATTATTAGGAATTTGAGATATAATTTTTAAAGGTATTTCTAGTGAATTTAATTGTAACTCACTATTGTTTAAATTTATTATTGCGCCTTGTAATGATAAGAAATCGTTTCCTATGATACCGTCATAGGGTATATTATTATTTTGATCAACTAATTGAAATTTAATTGGTATAGGTTGATCGTTTAGACTAAGGTGAAGGATTATGCTTCCTGCTGTTTCTACAGGAGAATTAGCACTAAGCCCATTAAATAAAATTTTGTCATTAATATTAAGATTTGATAATAAAGTAGAAAGATGCGCTTGATTTTTTAAAAGTGATACAGATGCTCCCGTATCTATTAAAAATTTTAATTTAATGTTATCACAATATGTTTCGATACACGGACTTATAGTACGAGATCCGACTGCGTGATTTCTACCCCCATCTGCTTTTTAAACAAAATTTAATTTTTAGAGATAATTATTAATAGAGGAATACGTTTCTACCGGGTTGCCTATCAAAATATGGCCGCAAGTATCTTTAATTCAAATTTAAATATTTCATTTTTTTTTTAAATTGCACCCACTTAGTTTAGAGATAAATTATAATTTATTTTATAGAGAGATATCTAAAGAACTTGAAAATTATGGGGTGCCGTTTCCCACTTGGCCGCAACCCCTTGGCAACCACGTGTAAACAGGTATTACTCCGGTTTTGCACCTATAACGTATTTTAATGAATTATATGTTAAATTAAAGCTATTTTTTTTCTCTACACGATGGTACACGGTTGCCTATGATAAAGTGGCCGCAAATAGGGGTTGCCAACTGTTAAAGATAGCGCACCAAAACGTCTATCAGAAAAGATCGCAGTGTGCCAGTTTTAGTTTATTTTAAAACGTCATTTTTATTGTAACAATTGGAATTAACAAGTACGCTAGCAAGTACGTTTGTTGTAAAATTAATATTTAAAAAAAATGAAGAAGTGTTTTCTTTTGTGTAATGAGAAGGACCGAGTGTTAGACTAATGATACATTATTTAAAAAATGTTTTTTAATGCTGTTGTTTCACCGTAAAAAGAAATTTATGTACCAGGACATTAAATTAACTGCGGATTATGGTTACCATAAAAAATGTTTGAAAAAAGTAACTGCTCTCAAACAAAAATATAAGCAGGAATTAGAAGATTTTTGCAAGAGTCAAACGGTAAGTAAAATTAATCGAACTTAAGAATGATTGCTACAATATAAATAATAGGTATATTGCTTTGACTCTAGTTCTAACAATACTAATTTCATATATACATATACATATACATATATACATATATATATATATACATTCATATTATGGCATTTGTTAAGTAATGCCATTTTTTGATTAAATTTTATTTTTATATCTGTAAAATCTGACACTTATCTGACATTTCAGAGCCTTCTTAATTTTTTTTATTTTTCTTTAAAAACCTGATAAAAATTTGAATTAACGGCCATTCCAAGCCCATGGACAGGACACATCAGAAACATGTCTAAATATATTCTTGTTACTTCCTTAAGTTTACTTATTTTTTCTACGAGTATTTATGAGAAGTATTACCCAAATTTGGCTAATACTTCTCATAAATACTGGTAGAAAAAATAAGTAAACTTAAGGAAGTAATAAGAATATATTTAGACATGTTTCTGATGTGTCCTGTCCATGGGCTTGGAATGGCCGATAAGTTAAAAGTTTTAACGTTATTAAAAAAATGCATTTATATTTGATACCTATCTAAATTTTTAAAAATAAGTCTTAGTTACTAGACCACAAGTTTTGACATGAAAAGTAAAAAAAAATATTTTTTCTAGTCTATTAGACCGAAAATAAAGCAAAAAAATCAATTCATTGCATTCTAGATATAAAAATTAAAATGTAATTCAAAATGACGACTGTCAAAAATTAATAAATGACATACATATTTATGTGTATAATATACACTGTACATGTATATGTATTCAGAATTTTTTCTTGTTTTATTGAAAAATAAAAAGATTAGCCCATTTCCAATAAAACCGAAAGAGCTAAAAATTATTAATTTTTCCAAAAGTCCTAAATTATAATTATATTAGGTGTATACACCTCATATAGTTCACCCGAGTTTCATCACCCTAGATAAAAAAAACAAGATGGTTAAGGCGGTAAACTTACTTCAAATGAATCAATTTTTATTTTAAATTAACTATTAATATGATGCGATTTGCTGTTATGAATGTCTTTATTTATTCCAAAATTGCAAAAGTCTCTCAGAGAATATTTTATATGGATAGAAAAACAAATTGAGAATATTTGAGAATATTTTCTTTTAAATTATCACATTAAGCCAAACTTCTAATACGATTTTTCTAATGCATTACATCTACTTTGCAGGAAATGTCAAGTGAATCTAATGTTGACGAACAGTCCAGTACGTCTGTATTAAACGAGCAGCCTTCTAATAAAGAGAATAATCACAAAAAATCAGCTTGTTTTTTCTGCGACCACGTCGAAAAAAAAGTTGGTAATCGACGTATCTATGTTACATTTTCAAAATCAGAAGCAACTATAAATGCAATAAAGTTAGCGGCTGAAACATTAAATGATTCTCAAGTACTTTCGAAACTAGTGGACCATCAAACTGTTGCTTATCACTCAAACTGCTTGGCATCATATCAGCTGTCTTTGAAGCGAGGAAATGAGGAACGTTCAGAGCCAGGATATTGGCACATAAATAGACAAATGCATCAGTCAGCATTTAAGACTATTTCTGAAATCATAACCACCGAAATTATTGAAAAAAATCGCGTCATGTACCTCGCCGATTTATTTTCACAGTATAAAGCCTTGTTGTTGGAATTTGGAGGAAATCAAGTTTGCGCCGAGGACTTTCAAGATTACCGTGCAGATAAATTGGAAAGTAAAATTATAAATGCCTTTGGGGATCACATTATAGTAGAGCCATCCATGGGAACGCACAGAAAGAAAATTGTTTATCAGCATGATATAGACCCCTCACGATTAGCTGGTAAAATTGCTGAAGTTAGTCAAAGGAATCTATGTAAGGACATTGCCTACGAGTTGCGAAATTGTATAACGTCTCTTCAAAACAACAAGCTTCCAGAGGATCTAACAGTAGACGACGTCATTCGTATAGAATGCAACATTCCGGAAAAATTATTTAACTTTGTGTGCGACTTAGTTCAAGGACCAGACATTCGCCGAAAAAATTCAAGTGAGGATTTGGTGAAGATAAAGTCTGTGTGCAGTGACCTTATTTATATAGTAATAATATTAAAATTTTTGCTTATGCTGATGACATTGCGGTCATTTCTTTTGCTGATAATAGAGGTGATTTAGAAAAGTTTACTAATTCTGCTCTTAATAGTATTAATAGCTGGGCTGATGATAATAAGTTATCTTTTTCGATTGATAAATGCAATTACGTTATGTTTGCTGGTAAAAGAGTAAGACGTCCTTCTATTAAACTAAATAATATTCCCTTAAGAGGTTTACAATCGGTTAAATATCTTGGTGTAATCTTAGATCAAAAACTGAATTATCAAGAACATATAAAGACAGTTTGTTTAAAAGCTAAAGGACTTTTCTCAACTTTAAGAAGACATTTATCCCGCATATGGGCTCCCCCTTGGCAAGCCCTTCAGACTATTTATTCTATGGCTGTTGTTCCTATTACTGGTTATGCTTTCGAAGTTTGGAAAAATCATATTCATTATAGAAGATCTGAAAGATATTTGAACTCTTGTAGAGCTCTATGTGCTAGAACTATTAGTGGTTGTTATAAGGATGTATCCTATGAAGCTGCCAGCGTTATAGCTAATATTATGCCAATTGATATTGAAATTTCCAAAAGACATGCCCTTTCCAATATCAAAAGATGCAAACCTGCCGAACATCTGGGAACATTTTGGACTGATAACTTTCCAAAAATTTCAATAGCTAAAGAACTATTGCAGAATTTGAGTTTAAATAAATGGCAAATTTTATGGGATTCATACCCTAATGGTAGACTTACTTACCAATTTATCCCTTCTGTAATTGAAAGACAATATATGAACATAACCCATAATAAAGCTTTATCATCAATTTTATCTGGTCATGGAAGATATAGAAGACATTTTCATAAAGTCGGAAGATTGGAGAACCCTTTTTGCCCCCATTGTCATTCCACTGATGATTCTTTACATAGAATTTCTGCTTGTCCATTATACGATGAACCTCGTCAAATTTTGATTGATTGTACCCCTTATTGGCCTATTTCACCTTCTAATCTTTTAAAATTTTTGATTGATAACAACAAAACAGACTTATTGACACCATTTTCCATTTGCGAAGATTTACCTTTTCATTAATTACTCTTTAACTATACATTTATTGTAAAACTGATTGCATTTGCCTTTCTGGAGAGTGATTTCTTTTCTTTATACAGTAATATTATTATTACTATTTCTTTATAAATAATATAATTTTTTGAAAATACTTTTACATTCATCTATAATCTGAGATTATATTATTAATAGATGAATTTCTGATTTATTAAAATCAACTTTATTTTTAGATTATTTTATATTAAATTTTTTTGTAATATCTTGATAAAGCAAAAATGTTAATTAAATCTAATTTTTATTTTTTTTCTTAAATTCTTACAAGGGTTGTAGGTACCTTGTAACACATATGTGTATCTTTTTGAGTAGAGTTTCTCATTTGTTTTGATAATTTATTATTATTGAATCACCATATACTGATGTCATTTTTGCTTTCTTCAATTTAATTTTTAATTCAAAATGTATACAATTCTCCTTCTATATATGTTAAATAACTAAAATTTTATAATTATGTACACTCTTAAATAAATAAAAAATTGAAAAAGAGAGTGGTTTGGCACTGGGTATGTGGGTGGGGCCTCCTCTCTCTTTTTTTTTTTTTTTTTTTTTTTTTTTTTATATAGTATCAAAAGGCAGAGTGAAACCGTCAAAACATCTTGCTCTAGGATTAACAATAAAGTCGATGACAAATTCAAGAAATGTTCTTACTATATTAAATAGGTATGGTCATACAATAGGCTATAATGTAGCTGAAGAATTAGAGACTGAAATGACTTATACAGCGCAAAAAGAAAATAATGTAGTACCATCCGGCATCAACAGGGTTAATGGGCTGAGCACGCACGTTGCTTTTGATAATTTTGATCGTTTCGTCGACACTGCTACTGGGAAAGACACTTTACACGATACGGTGGGTATTATCTATCAATTCGATCGCAAAAACCATGAAAAACCTAATAATAATGATATGAAGACCTTAAATTCCTTGACGTCACAGTTAAATAAAGTTAAAAATGAGTCTAATCCACCAGTTCGTAAAAGACGGCGTTTTGAAGGAATTCCACAGGAAATTCGGCCTTATTACAGGAAACCTATCACAAGTATGACGTTTCTTTCTATAGATTCAATTACAGAGACTATCGATGCATACCAGTCCGCAAAACTAATTGCAATGGATAAAGATTTTCTTTGGAGTATGTCTTTGTCACGGATCAAATCGGTCCCCATGTGGTTGGGCTACAACTGCAAAATTTCTCTTGATCATAGCAAAACACAAACAGTCGAGTACTTACCACCTATAAATGCATCTCCAACGTCACTAGCAGTTGTTCATGAAACTCTTAACATTGCTAAGGAAATTGCTCAAAATTGTGATCAACAACAGATTATTGCCACTTATGATTTGGCAATAGCCAAATTAGCTATGCAAATTCAACATAATGAAAAGCCCGAATTCGATAATGTATTTGTAAATTTAGGAGCATTTCACATGCAAATGGCATATTTCAAAGCCGTTGGAAAGTATATAGATTCCAGTGGATTATTTGAAATTTTGGTTGAAGCTGAAGCACTAGCAGGAGGATCGATGAATAGCTTTTTGGATAGCAAATCAATGTAAGCGTCTGCATCCTTTGGCATCTGGTGCCTTGCAGGTTCTTCATTTTGAAAAATATTTGTCAGAAATAAAAACTGATCCTGAGATTTTGAATGAAGATTTAGCTGCGGTAATGAATACTTCTTGTGAAGTTAATGAGAGCATTGTTTTACCTGACTCACTACGACAAATACTGGAGGGTTATAAACAGTTTCGCGAAATAACACTTCAGGGCGGCCATGGAAAGACAGCTCAATACTACTTGCAATACACAGAACTCGTCAACATATACCTTCGATTTTCCAGAAGCATCCGTTGCAGTAATTTCGAGCTTTACCTGAATTCTATTTCCGAAATATGTGACTACTTCTTTGCATTTAATCTGCCGAATTATTCTAAATGGGCTGCTTTATATTTAAATAATTTAATCAAACTCAAAACTGATAATTCACCTCTGCTTATGGAATTTCGTGAAGGCGCTTTTGGTGTTAGACGAACAAAGTCATGTTTAGGTAGGTCACCTGTAGACTTGACATTAGAGCAGACGATCAATGCTGATGCCGGTAATACTTTAACTGGTGTTAGTCATTTCACAAACTCAATATCTGCACGACAAAGATGGGCTCTCAGTCACAGCATGAGGACTAAAATCCTTTCAGCAGTAAAGGTAGAAATCGGGTTATCACATTCAGATGATACTTCTTATTCTTTGGAAAAAAACCGAATTGAGAAAGACAACAAAACTCTTAGCAGTATTCTTGAAACAATAAAGAAAACAATGGATCCTTTCGATGAAAACCTGGATAAAAATATTTTATTCAACATGTCAACTGGTAAAGCGGCATCCTCAAATGTTGCTGATTTTTTGCTCAACATCAAGTCATTAGGTCATCAGCTAAAATTGCGTTTCTTTTCGGAATGTTTTAAAGATTCTTTAAGATTTGTAAAACCCATAAAACGAAATAATATTCATAACTTTGCATCTGATTGTGTAAAAAAACTAATAAAAGGTAAGAACAGAGGCAATCAAGCAATAATTAAAATGGAACGAGATATTTTCGGACGGCTGTTGGCAATTGCTATCAATAAAAAAGTTGATATTGAGTACTGCTTATCGTATCCCCTTGCACCTGTACCTCCAGCACTGTTTCATTGTACTGGCCACATGTTTAAAACAGACAAGTCTACTTTTAGTAAACATTTAAAGTCAAAGATTGAACCATCTCACCCTGGACAAATTGAAATAGAAATAATTGATGGTTTCTACTATATGTATTATATGGGCACTACTTTGCCACAAACATTTGGAAAGCTTTGTTCATCTAATGCCAGTGAAGTTCACATCATATTTGATAGATACCTAACGCCTTCCATCAAAGATTGCGAAAGACAGAATCGAAAGAAAATTGATATTCCCTATTCAATAAATGGTCCGTTGCAACCTAGACCTAGAGATTTTTTAATAAGTTTAAAGAATTATCGTTTTAAAGAAGCTATGGTTAAATTTTTAGCTGATCACTGGGGTAACGACTTTTTTGCTTCCGTATTGAAAACCAAAAAAGTCTTTATTACAGTCGGTGTACTGTGCTTTTCATATTGTTCGGTTGGAAACCGCGTTATAAAAAAAGAAGAAACTGAATTAGCATGTCAGCATGAGGAAGCGGATACACGAATTATATTTCATATTTCCCAATTTAGAAATTTGGCTGGCAAACAGTACATCAAAAAGCATTCATAATAAAGACCAAACTTGCATAAATTGTACGGAATTGGCAATGAAATTGGGTCCGACTTTATGCCTTGCGTTGCCAGCATTTCACGCATTCACAGGTTGCGACTATACGGCTGCGTTTTTCAATAAAGGGAAAGTCCGGCCCTTTAATATATTTTCTAAGAGCCATAAGATTCAGCAGGTTTTTGGGTCATTGACTAACCCAAATGATATTTTTGACAATAACAAAATTAAAGTAATCCAGGAGTTTACTTCTCTTATGTATGGAATCAAAAATTGCCAAAGTGTAAATGCTGCAAGATATTTAATGTTTAACAAAATGTACGCAACAACAAAAAACAATGAAAAATTTATAAAAAAAGTCAAAGGCTTTGACTCAACACACATACCACCTTGCTGGAAATCTTTAAAACAAAAATTGTTGAGGACGATCTTTGTCAATTCAATGTATCAGAATGCCACTAAGCCGGATTTTATAAATTTTAGCGCTGAAAATAGCGGTTTTTAAAACCAACATGGTTTGTTGGAGATTCAACGCCACTGCAAGTCAAAGATGTGGTTTGTAATTCTATTAAAGAAATAGACGAGAATACAGATGATTCAGATATAAGTAGTTGTGTGAGTGACAGTTCCGATGAATCGGAGGATGCATAAATGCCTGTGTCTCTGTGAATGATACGAAAATGTAATTTTGTGTTTATAATTTAATATATTTTTGTTAAATTTGTTTGTTTTTTTAATGGATAATAACAAACTTGCACACTAAAAAAATTATATTTATAAATATAATTTATATTTTTTTATTAATTACTTTCTGAGGTTTTTTGTAATATTTAATGAGAACTCATTTTTCTAGGAATTTTTTATAAAAAATAAGCTAATATTTTACTTGAAAATATTTTTTATCTTAATATTATTCCAAAACTAAAAATAAATTTTTAACAGTTGGCAACCCCTATTTGCGGCCACTTTATCATAGGCAACCGTGTACCATCGTGTAGAGAAAAAAAATAGCTTTAATTTAACATATAATTCATTAAAATACGTTATAGGTGCAAAATTGACCGGAGTAATACCTGTTTACACGTGGTTGCCAAGGGGTTGCGGCCAAGTGGGAAACGGCAACCCATAATTTTCAAGTTCTTTAGATATCTCTCTATAAAATAAATTATAATTTATCTCTAAACTAAGTGGGTGCAATTTAAAAAAAAAATGAAATATTTAAATTTGAATTAAAGATACTTGCGGCCATATTTTGATAGGCAACCCGGTAGAAACGTATTCCTCTATTAATAATTATCTCTAAAATTTACATTTTGTTTAAAAAGCAGATGGGGGTAGTAATCACGCAGTCGGATCTTGGACTATTACATTATTATTTAAAAGAATATTAAATGTTTTAAGATTTTTAATTATTTTGTTACAATTATTAGGAACCGGATAACAACCAAAATTATTAGGTCTACGGCAAGATTTATTTAGAACCGGATAGCAACCTGATTTTTCAGATCTACGGCAAGAATTATTTTGAACCGGATAGCAACCTGATTTTTCAGATCTACGGCAAGAATTATTTTGAACCGGATGGCAACCTGATTTTTCAGATCTACGGCAAGATTTATTTAGAACCGGATAGCAACCTGATTTTACAGATCTACGGCAAGAATTATTTGGAACCGGATAGCAACCTGATTTTTCAGATCTACGGCAAAAATTATTTGGAACCGGATAGCAACCTGATTTTTCAGATCTACGGCAAGAATTATTTTGAACCGGATAGCAACCTGATTTTTCAGATCTACGGCAAGAATTATTTGGAACCGGATAGCAACCTGATTTTTCAGATCTACGGCAAGATTTATTTAGAAAGGGCTTATTTAAGGTTTTTACGTCGGTTTTTATTATTCCCAATCCGCAGAAACGACGTTGTTCTGGGACGCATTCTCGTTTAAAGATTCGGTATTATTGGAGAAATTTGAATTATAATTTATATTTTGATTGGAACTATTTCCTGCATTTTTTCGTTGACGTTTGAAACAATCGTCTATTAAATGACCATTCTTTTTACAGTAATTACAAAATTTAGATTGATAAGATGAGTTATAGTTTCCATTTGATTTATAGTTTTTATTTGAATTGTAATTTGTATTTGAATGGTTATTTGTATTTGAATTTTCGCTAGGTTTATTTAATTGTACGTTAAATTTTTTATTTTTAAAGCAATCTTGTGTGTTATGAGTTTTTGTTTTGCAATTTTTGCAGAATTTTGATGGACGGGATCCTAAAGAACTAGATTTCGAAATTTGAAGAGCTCTTTCTTCTTCTAAAGCACTAGTTAGAGCGTCTGATAAATTATTAGAGTTTTTACTTCTTAAAAAACGCGATATTTCCGGTTGACTATGAAGGATAAAGCGTTGCAAAGCTAATTCTTTAATAATTTGAACTCTGGCTTTGCGAGTGCCTCCGTCGTTATCGGAAATACAATTAACAATGCGGGTGTATAATTTATCGACTCTGTTGTGAAAAGATAGAATAGATTCGTTAAAATTTTGTCTTATCGTATTAAGATCTTCCATTAATTGTGTGTAATGTTTTTTGTCTGCGTATAATTGTATTAAAAGTTCTTTAAGGTCCTTCCAATCGTTTATTTCTTTATCGCGCAATTGTGCTTTTGCACTACCTGTTATTTTCGAAATAAGAGGTTCATTTTGAGAAATGTGGGCAAATTTAAAGGCGTTTTCGCAATTAGAAATAAATTCGTATAACTCTGTGCGATTTCCGTCGAATGATTTAGGTATAAGTGAACAAAGAAAAGCTAATTTGTGTGGAGGAATGTCTCTTATGTTGCTGCTATCAGCATTTCGAAGCGTTTGAGGGTTATTTTCAGGCATTGTGAATAGTAATAGTTTAGTAAACGCGAAAATACAAATAAATGTTTAAGAAAAGTAAAAAAAAGATTTAAACCTGCTATATAAAATGGGGAAACAGAAATAAGGAAAAAGAAAGGAATAAACGACTTACGTTTGATATTGTCTGTCTTGTGCGTTCTTCGTTGTGGTTGAGGGTTCTTTGTGTTGCTTGATGATTCTTTGTTGATCCAAGGAGTTGAAACTCGCCAAGTTGAAGAAATATAGATGAGTTGCCCTTTTGATTCTTGATTTATTTGATTTTTGATTCTTCTTCTTGTGACCAAATCCAATACGACTGCGCCAAATTTTATGTTGGGATACGAAGAACTAACACTTTGACTCGTAAGATCGTTTATTGTGAATAAGTTTTACATAATAATTAAATGAATAATAAATATTCGAGAAGTTAAATCTTAAGTTAAGTGAGTGAAAAGTAAGTAGTAAGTAATCTTTTGGTTTCTAAAAATGAGCTTTTATACATCGCGATAATTTTTATCAGTTAATGGAAAAATAGAAGCGCTGTCTTTGAAATTATGAAATATCTAATGATGCGTAATAATTACTTGAACTATTTGAACTTTTTATTAATTTAATTTATGGACTTATTTTTTGTCACCCTAAAGATCACGACTAAAAGATTATTTAATATACATTAGAAAAACAAACTGTTACCAAATAAATATACAGGGTCTAACAACTTAAACAATTTTACTTAAATAATAATTCTTTAGTTCTGTTTTAAATCTTTTTAAATTTGCAGTTACCTTTAAATTTACTGGCAGATTATTGTATAATTTTAAACCTTCATTAAATAGTGATTTTTTACAGATATTAAGATTGCATCTTTCCACATTATAATCATCTCTGTTTCTAGTTTGATGTGTATGAAAGCTTTTAACTAAATAAGGCTGTAAGTAAGTAGGAGTTAAGTTTTTTCGATTTTATAAATTAAAATTAAGTTTGACATTTCTATCATTTTATCAATTGGAAGCCACTTTAACGATTTTAACATATTAAAAATTGAGGTGTATTTGTCACAGTTTAAAATTACCCTCATTGCTTTGTTTTGGAGCAACTGTAACTTATTAACATCTTTTTTTGTTGATGTGATCAATAAAGATAAACAATAGTTAAAATGTGGGAAAATAATTGTGTTATAAACTAACTTTTTTGTCCAGAGAGATAAGTTTTGAGAAATCCTGTAAAAATATCCAATTTTTTTACCTAACTTTTTACACAAAAAATTTATATGATTACTTAAATTTAATTGAGGATCAAGAATGACACCTAAATACTTTATTTCATCAACATCAATCTTTTCATTATTTATAGATAAAAATAAACTTTTTGTTAGGAATTTATTACAATTTATTTTTGAGCCCAATACCATGGTATGCATGCATTTGGTCTTTTTTGTATTTAATTTTAATTTATTTTGACAGAGCCAGTTAAATAGAATATCCAAAGTTGCATTCATTTGATTGACTATGACTTCGAAATTTTTTCCAGAAATGGATAATAAAGTGTCATCCGCAAATATATTTATATAACAATCTTTCAAAAACTTACAAATGTCATTTATATAAATGATAAAGAGCAGGGGCCCTAATACACTTCCCTGTGGTACCCCATGCTCACTTTTAACACCTTCAGACACTACACTATTGACACTGGTTTTATGTGACCTATTACACAAGAAACTTTGCAACCAACTCAACACAAATCCTTCAACACCATACCTCCGCAGCTTTTTAATTAACACTTTTCTATTTATTGTTTCAAATGCACG